CTGCTCCTCAACTTCCTTCTCCTTCTTCTCCTTCACTTCCTTCTCTTCTCCTTCCCATACCAAACCCACCCCAGATCCTGATTTCATATTCCATAACCCTTACCTATTTCTTACTACAATAGGTTGAAAGGGTCAGTGCAAGAAAAAGAACTGAGAAGCAATTCTCAACCTTTTCCTATTCTTCTCCTGTGGGAAACAAAAGAGTGAATCCCCGTGGCTCCCGCTGTGGCGAGACACACCCCGTAAGATGAGCTTTGTACAAAATATCCGTAAACCCCAAACAACTGAAAAATAGAGGAACACCCACACGGCATTCTAAGCAACTAAAATTGTAATTATTATCTTGACATGTTATGAGTCAGACTGTGTTGGCGGTTCATTAAGGCCTGTGGGGAGTCTTCTTCAGATGCCACCAGAATGGTATAAAAGCCCTCGCTACTCCGGGAGATCTTCACAGCTTCTCTGACCAGCTTGCTCCCTTTCTACTTCTTCTCCTCAGAGCAGGTAAGTCAATTTCTTTACTGGAGCGAGTTAACTTAGAGAGTTGGAACTGCCAAATAGGAAAAAGAGTGAGGTTTGATTAACCTCCAAACTCTTACTAGGAGGAATAATCTCTGTGAAGGAAGATCTGGAGGAGAAATAACTTTTGGGGATTCATCTGAATGGAGAGGAATTTGAGGCCAGGACATTCTTCTGATCAGCTTTAGTTAAGATCTTAGAAACCTCCTAGGGGAGGAAGAGCCCTGCACTAAGAAAGATGCTAGAGCACCGGCAAAGTTCTCAATGATAAACAAGGATAGGATACGTAGAAGGGCACTTCATATCTTCAGAGTCTCTATGTCAGAAGCTCTCAGAGCTTCTCCAAAACATATTGAAGTGGTCTTCAGAAAAATGCTGATCATTTTTACTAGATCCTTCTGGTAATTCTTTCCTGTAGTGGATCTTCACAGTTCTTGGAATTCAGAGAGCAATTCCAGATGGAAACTTCCTTCCATTTTAGTTTAGGTTATGACAAAGGCTGGGTTTGTTTGGTGGAGCAGGTTGAAGTTCTAGTGTTTGCAGTCCTACAAGATGCTAAGCTTGAGTAGCTGGAAGCTGTGGTTAATTTGAAGGGGGGGGGGTTGACTTTATGACTCATTATTCTGTGCACCTAAAGGATGGATTATCATCTAATTAATCATGCTGTGCAAAATCAGACAGAAGATTGACATGAATCAAATGAGCAAATGTCGTTTGTGCACATGGTCCCATCCTCTGGAACCTTCTCTGAGTCTTCATGATTCTTTGGCATTCTCTCTCTCCTCCCATGGTCAACTTGGTTGTGTAAATGTTTCATTTCAGACCTACCTTAACTGTCCTACAAAAAATGGCTTGCTGTGGACCATCTTGTGCTGTTCCATCTTGTGCTTCCGCCCCCGTTGTCGGACTGGGGTCAACTGGCTGTGGACCATGGGGATACGGCTCATGGGGATACGGCCACAGCGGTCTTGGTCTTGGCTACGGTTATGGCTCTGCTAGGTTAGCTGAATCTGCTAGGAACCTGGGCACTTTGGCTGGAGTCGTCCCATCCTGCATCAACCAGATCCCAGCATCTGAGGTGACCATCCAGCCCCCTCCAGTCGTGGTCACTCTCCCTGGTCCCATCCTCTCCGCCAGCTGTGAGCCTGTCGCTGTTGGAGGCCACACCCCATGTGCTGCTGGAGGTTATGGACGTTACGGTGGCTACTACGGAGGCCGCCTGGGGCGTCTCGGTCGCCGTGGCAGCATCTGCTCTGTCGGACGCAAAGGTAGCATCTGCACCCTCCCTTGTTAAGTGAACCTGGACTGTCCATGACCAAAAACAGATGTGAGAAGATCGTCTAAGTCCTATCTGAGCCCTGCTCTGTGTGTATACAGCTATCACAGCTCCCTCTACTCTAGACTGATCCCATTGCTTGTATTCTTTTCTGGCATTCCAACAAGCACTTAAGGCAGTTAAGTCATCAGTCAAGGGCTTCATGTGAAGAATGAAAGCTCTGCAAACATCTAGGGCCTCTGAGATTATTTGTCAAAGGGGAGGTCTTCATTTCTTTGCGCTGTTTGGAACCCCTGATGGCTTCTGCCAATGTTCTTTCTTTGCACTTTAATAAAAGTCATTCTGCACTGCAAACTTGTGGTTCTCCTTGGCTGTCATTTGAAGGTGGGCGAAGTCTTCCCTTGGTGGAGGTTTTCTCCATGGAGCCTGGGTGGGTAAGGGTGGAAAGAGAAGGGTGTATTTTGCCACAGCTGTGGAAAAACAAGATACAGTAAACCTGTAGAGTAAGGGTTCTGGAGTTCTCAAGAACCCCTTTCAGATAGAGGTCAGTCAACTCTTCAAAGGTCCTTCCTGGCTAGCATAGCCTCTTTTGAAGACCTCTTGTATTCTCAGCCCCATTAGCTCACAAAGAACTCAGCAAATCAAATAATTAGTGGGAAATGCATACCTTTTCCTTGATCCCTTATTAGCATCCCCGAGACGCCTGGAGTTTCTTGTCGAAACAACAATATACAATGCACCTTCTCTTATGCCCGCGAGCTTATATTTGCAAAATTGGCTTGACGTTTGCTGATGCAAATGTTTTCTTTTTTTTAATTTGCAGCAAAAAGTGTCCCTGAATGATTGCCCCCAGGATACAAAAAAAGAGAAATTAAAAATAATCTTCAAATGATGAAAAATAAAATAAAATAAAAGCACAGATAAACAATCTCAAGGAGACATGAACCTGGAAATAAGGAGGAACTTTCTGACAGTGAGAATAATCAACCCATGGAACAGAAGTTGCCCTTGGAAGTTGTGGGAGCGTCATCACTTGAGACTTTCAAGAAGAGATTGGACTCCCATCTGCCAGAAATTGGTGTAGGGTCTCCCGCTTGGTTAGACTAGATGACCTACAAGATCCCTTCCAACTCTGATTATCTGTTATCTGAAAATAGGCCTCTTGTTGAAAAGAAATGGGCAAGAAATTCCTGCCTAGGTTTAAATCCAGGTAACGAGAAAGAAAGGTAGGGAAAAATGCAGGTTGGCTGTGGTGTTATTAGAAAAATAAAATTAAACACAATTAAGGCAGAATTAAATATATGAGGCCCCACAGACATCCTGTTGGAGTTCTTTATTCACCTTTATTGCTTGTGATTGTGCTTGTGCAGAAGACATTCAGAAATTACTCGCACAGATCCAAATTTGAAAGTAAACCATAAAAATGTCACAGGATGAGGATGATGATGGACTTAACCTGGTCAGTCAGTTCACCTCTGCTTGTCCAGAACAATAAGCCATAATCCTAAAATACAACAAGAGATCTGAATAAAACAGAGATATCTTTATCACACCTGGTGAAACCTGTTGTGTGTGAACTTCTGTGTATTTTGCCACAGCTGTGGAAAAACAAGATACAGTAAACCTGTAGAGTAAGGGTTCTGGAGTTCTCAAGAACCCCTTTCAGATAGAGGTCAGTCAACTCTTCAAAGGTCCTTCCTGGCTAGCATAGCCTCTTTTGAAGACCTCTTGTATTCTCAGCCCCATTAGTGAAGATCTGATGATGAAGAAGGTTCTTCTTAGAAGGCAAAATAGAAAGAACACAATATCATAGCCCTCTTTTGCTTAGCCATAGTTTATCGCCTGAGCCACAATGGGTAGACTTCATGTCCCAGTCGATGCTTAACAAACCACCATGCCTCGGTTTCGTCCAACCAGCAATGCCAACAAACGAAACAGGTCATAACCTTTTGCTTCAGGGTACTTCATTACATCCCCCCCCTTTCCTATTGGACATTTGAGGAACAAGTAGGTGGGACTTGGGAGCAGCAGCCAATAAGTATTCTAACACCTGTTGGGTTTAGCAATCAACCATCTTGTGTTGTGGGCAACTCTGTACGACTGTATTGTTTCATTGGAGGAATGACTGAGTGGAGGAGAGACACTGTTCCCCCAGTTGACTAGGTTTGGAGTTGATACCTGGTGTGACCCATAATCAACCTGGTTGGGTTTGGGGTTCAAATGGACTTTCCCATTGGTATGGAATGGGTTTGGTGGTCCATATAATATGTTGGAACTCAAACTAGCCTGGTTAGGCAGATTGGGTGCCTCTACAGAAGAACCACTGTACTGAGAATGTTCACTCTTCAGAAGATGTAATGAGAAGAGGATGGACTTCAAACAAACAAACAAACCAGAGATTCAGAAATGAGAATGCAGCATGAGTTTTAATGAAGAAATAGGAACAAAAGCATGAGTGGACAATTATCAAAGGAACAATAATGACATACAAAGCAAATAAAGAGAAGCGATGCCGAGACAAGAAAGAAGAAATGCCAGTCCGGTGGAAAAAGAATTTTCAGATTCTAAGCCCTGATAACCTTCATGTTCTTGGTCCATGTTAGATCATTTCTAGGCTTAGACCAGAGCAATACAAAGACAAGCAGACATCTCCACAATATCCTGGAAGACACCTTCTTTTTTGTTCATGGGTCCATGTGCTCCCAAAGCCATAAGCCTAGGCTTCACTTCTCTAAAGAACCAGAGATTACACATGGTATGTTGCCTCCAATGCAAATGGGCTCACAGCTGATGAAGAGAATAGGACCAAGGATGGTCACAATGGAAGCAGGTGGCTAGATGATGATCTCGATTGATGGTGTCTGGTTGATGGTAGAAGGGGGTGACACCAGTCAAGGGGTCTATGCTGCCCGAGCTTTCAGCCAAAGCACCAGATCCATAACCATAACCCAATGAGGGACCTCTGTAGCCAAGATGTTTGCACAGCTTCTTGATACCTTGACTGATCAATTTAGCGGAGAGATAATTTCACAGGAGGATGTAGTTCTCTGCTGGTTGTAAAAATACTGGGGGGAAAACACAAGCAATAGGATCTAGAGCAACCTGGAGCAGGCAGAGGAGAATTGTGAAAACTGCAGACAGGGCAAAATGGGGCCTTAGCCAATCTTCTGAAATCTGTATTTGGTCATGGAGAGTCCTGGTTTACTTAACAGGGGAGGTTGCAAGGATTGCAGATGATGCTGCCACGGCGACCAAGACGCCCCAGCCGGCCTCCGAGATAGCCAGCACCTAAGCGTCCGATACCTCCAGGGGCACATGGGGAGTTGCCTCCGACGGCGACGGGCTCACAGCTGGCGGACAGGATGGGACCAGGGATGGTGACCACAACTGAAGGGGGCTGGATGGTCACCTCGGAGGGTGGGACCTGGTTGATGGGTTTGGGCAAGACTCCGGCCAGGGTGCCCAGGTTTCTTGAGGATTCGGCCAAGCCAGCAGCTCCATAGCCATAACCTAAACTATAGTCGATACCTCCAGAGACGAGACTTCCATAGCCGAGACCTCCATAGCCGAGACCTCCATAGCCGAGACCTCTGGCACCAGCTGATCCAAAGCCAACAGCTGGGGCGGAGGCGCAAGATGGCACAGCACAAGAGGGTCCACAGAAAGCCATGGTGTGGAGTTGTGAAGTGAGTCTAATGTAAGAAATGGAGAGAGATTGTGAGAATTGCATTCAATTCATTTCTATCACCATATCCCTTGCTTCTTCCGTCAACGAACACAATAGTTTTAATAGGATTTGATTTGCTAGGACGGGAGTGAATGGTAGCCTCTAATTGATCTTCTCAAGCTAGGCTTCCTCAACCTGAAATGGTCAGGAGGATCACCAGTACAGGCCATGAATTTTGGAAGGCAGATCTGGAATCCCAAACCTTCCCTTTCTTAGAGGGGAGAAGAAAATTTTGAAGGAAAGGTCCAGCTTTAAGCACTTTGGCTTTCCTTCAGCAGCCCCATTATTTTCGAAGCCCACTTTGGATCCAACATGATGGTCCTCAGCCAACTGACTTCCTCAGATTACAGGGAGGACTAAAAAAAGAAACGTTCTAGAAGAAAAATGCATGGTCACCAAGATTCAACATCAAATCACAGGCTCCATGTTTCCACCTCAGTTATAAAGCAGGGGAGAAACCTGCATTTCTGTGTCTCAAGTCCATCAAGTGTAAAAATACTCTGTAAATATGAGTCCAGCTCTGTGCCCTATGCCTTTGTTTAAGGCTGAAGAGTCTGCTTCTTTCTTTGGCCAGCTAACGGAAAAATCCTAAAGAGATCAGGAGAAAGGTCCTCCCATATTTTTCTTGTCATCTTCTCTGAAACTATTTTTTTTAAATAATGCTTTATTGAGGTTTTTTTCCCATGTATACATAATACCAATAGTTATTAAACAGTGCTGTGACATTATATATACGTTTATGTGTCCTATCAAAACTTACAATACATAATACTTTCATACCCTCTTATTTATTATATACTTTATTTACATTTTCTATTCTTATATCTATTATCAATCCGAATAAACCATGTTTCCCATACTGCATTGTATTCTGTGTCTGTTTTCCCTTTTAATTCCATAGTTCATTTATCCATTTCCACACACTCTAATTTTTTAATTATTAAGCCTTCAGGTGGTATGGAGTTTTTCGTCCAGTACTAAGCATATGAAATTCTCGCTGCTGTTAATATATGTAATAAGAGATATTTTGTCTTTCTGTTGTAGTTTTCTTTTTATTATACCTAAGAGGAATAATTCCGGGACAAAATCAATTTTGTTTTTAGTTAACTCTCTCTGAAACTAAAATTAGACCTCAACTTCTCAACTGGTTTCATGCCCTCTGAGTTAGAAGTCAATATTGGGTCTCAATCATTCATTCTAGTTAACAGTTGAGTTAACTGATTACCCTCAATCTTTTGTCATTACAACCTGGATTTTATGACCATCCAAGCTATCTCAAAAAGACCTGATTATTTTCCAGTATCCTAACCATAAAGTCAGTTCTCTTAGGATGGGAAGCTAAAAATAGAGAAGGAGTGGGGGGAAACTCAAAATGAAGCCCATCTTAGTCCTTCAAATAGAAAGCATGATTCTAAAAGCAGAAGTATTCAAGCCTATGATGAGGTCCATATTTTGAAGAACCTCAGATTCTGACTTGAAAATCTACTTCAGCTATCTCAAAAAGACTGGTTTGCTTTTGTTCCCCCTCTCTCCCTCCCCCCCCCCCATCTCTCCATTCGCCCCTCTCTCTTCTTTCCCTCTCTCTCCCTCCCTTTAACACACTCTTTTTCTCCCTTTCTTTCCAAAACCTGACCTGTAACTTCTGAAACTCAAAATGAAGTCTTCCTACTCCTTCAAATAGAGCACCAGAAGCTGGTTCTGAAAGCAGAAGCATTCTAGCCTATGAAGAGGTCCATATTTTGAAGAACCTCCATCTACCTCATCTGCTCACAACCAAGAGGGATTCTCTCTGAGTCGATAGTCTTACCTGCTTCGGAGAGAAGTAGTGAAGACAGGAGAGTCAACCAGAAGCTGATGGTGCTACAGAGAGCAGAGAGGGTTTTTATACCATCCTCTCTGCGTCCTCAGGAAGTTGGAGCTCATAAAACGTCATTTGGCTTCCTACAATTTTCTTTTTTGGTCATACAAAAGAGAAAAAAAGGTTCTTCCCTCAGCAGAAATTGTCACCTTGGCATTCTGAGGTACAATCATCATGTCACCACAAATAAGCTACTGGGTGATCTGTGCATCCTTTCAAGTTTGCTAACTTCAGGTCAAACGCTTTGGTTTATCTGATCTTGGAAATGTGCCACTGCCACAGGGCGGGCATACAGTCAGGATCAAAGCTGGGTTGTTGTCCTCAGTAGCAACTTCATGAAAATGACGGCATTTCCTTGAATCAGCACAGAATATCTTTGACTTCAAGGTGGGTAGCTTATGATGCTGCAAATATCCCTCAAACTACCCAACATATGGGAAGATGCCAGAATGGTGTTCTCAAGGCCTTGTTGGAAACCAGTAACCCCAGTTCACTTTGAACCTGAGACCACCTGCTCCAGGTTGACTTTACTTTTCAGTAATGTCTGGAGGGAGAAGCATCCTTTCTCCATGGTAGTCCCCTTTTCTGAACTATCTAACCTGAAAATGTTGACCAACCCAACATTGGTAAGCTTTCATGGAGCCATGAGAACATGTCTGTTCTAGAGACATTTGAAGCAGCGTGAAGGACACATGCTGCTGTTGGGACACAAGTCCTCAAGCTCTGATAACAATGGTTTGTTCAAATAAATTAGATAACATGGCTTAGTAGGGTAGATAAATCCCACTCTGCGGTGATATCTAGAGGAGGAAGCATCCAGGAGGTCCCATCATGAATGGAGTTTCACCACCAGAACCTCAGTGTTCAACCTTCTCATGATGGTCTTGTCACCTCCAGAAGCTCAGCGTCCAACCTTCTCCATGATAGTCCCCCTGTCCGAATATTTGGTTTATCCCAAATATTTTGACCAACCTAACTTTACTAAACTTTCAAAGAAGTGTGAAAACATGGGTGTTCTGGAGCACATTTGGAGTGGTGTGAAGATCCAAGATATGGGTCGTGGGTCTGGTGTGAATTGCTTCTCCTTGTTTCTATTGCTTTTGTCTCTTTTTTTGTGCTGGTTTCTTCTGGGACTGGAGCAGCCTATAAGCCAGAGTCAGTAAATAAATGAACAAGGAATACTAGTAGATTATTTTAAAGTTATTATTAGTGATGGAAATCCATCAGTAGAGGTTCCTTCACTGGGAGACTTCTGACTTTGTGGAACAAATGATGGCACGATGAATGCCAATTCTACTTGATCTTAAATATTGAGAAAAGAGTTGACCTTTTCTGTCATTTTCAATTGTTGCCTTCGCCTTGTAAGAACATGAAGAGAGATGGTGATGCTAGGAAAAGACCAGGTCCCTCAATAACAATTTCCATGTGTCATGCCTTCACTCACTCACTCACTCATTAACTCACTTGTTCGTTCGTTCATTCATTCATTCATTCATTGTACTTTGAATGAATGAATGATGTTCATGGAAACAAGAAAAGAAAAGATTAAAGGGACAACCACAACTTATGTGGTTGATAAAATGCTAAGTCTTCAACTACTTATTCCTACTTATTAAAATAATTGGCACCAGAGGGATGAAGCTATGCGGAAATTGCTTATTAATGAAACCCTGTGGTAAAAAAGGGGCCGTCTCTAAATAAGTGGTGGGGACAGAAAAACAGTATAAAAGAGCTTCTCCTGCTGAGAGTTTCCATCAGCTTCATCTCCTCCTCTTGACTGCTTCTCCAAGAGTCTCTCTGGTAAGTCCCTTGCATCTGAGATGCCTTTCTGGGTTGTTATGGCTCTTGGTTTCATGGAATGGGGTGGCATGGAAGACTGACAATATAGTGTACTCAGAATCTGATGGACGAAAGGAAGGAAGGAAAGACCTTTAAGAGCCCTGAGCATTCAGAAAACATGTTTGTCTCAGAATGAGACAAATGTTAGGGAAAACTTCCAGATTTGTAGAACCGTGGAACAGCTATCTGATAGGGGTTGTAGCCGCCTCGGCGGGTTTTTGAGAAAAGACGAAACAATTACTCCTTGATCCCATGATTAACCAGTTGCAATGTTCCAGGCTAGTCACAATTTATGAGCTTTCTAGGTGACTTCCAAGAAGCAAAGCCAACAGGGAAACCTGGATCCTTTTAATGACCAAGCCAAAAGAGGTTGTAAAAACAAGTGAAACTCGCTTAAGAACTGTTCCACTTGACAATGGGATCAAAATTAGAGGGTTTGAAAACAAGCACACATTTATGACAGTCCCAAGTGTGATTTTGACTTACTTCCGGAAGTTGTGGATGCTTCAACACTGGAGCTCATTAAAAAAGAGATGGGACAGTCCTTTGAAATGGTAGAGGGTCTCCTGCTTGAGCAGGGGGTTGGATTAGAAGACCTCCAAGGCCCCATCCAACTCTGTTATTGTGTATGTTGAGGCTTCCTGTCCACGATGCCAGGAAGAGTCTTCTGTTTCTTTCTTGGATGCTATTCGTGCTCTGGGTGTTAATCACAAAACCCATGGTTCTTCTTTTTCTTCTACCAACAGCTCTTCCATCCAGCCATGGCTTTCTGTGGACCCTCTTGTGCTGTGCCATCTTGTGCCTCCGCCCCAGCTGTTGGCTTTGGATCAGCTGGTGCCAGAGGTCTCGGCTATGGAGGTCTCAGCTATGGAGGTCTCGGCTCTGGAGGTCTTGGCTATGGTTTGGGCTACGGCTATGGAGCTGGTGCCTTGGCCGAATCCTCAGGAAGCCTGGGCACCCTGGCCGGAGTCAACCCCTCCTGCATCAACCAGATCCCAGCATCTGAGGTGACCATCCAGCCCCCTGCAGTTGTGGTCACCATCCCTGGTCCCATCCTGTCCGCCAGCTGTGAGCCCGTCGCCGTCGGAGGCAACGCACCATGTGCCCCTGGAGGTATCGGAGGAGTCGGAGGTTTCGGACGCTTAGGTTCTGGCTACTATGGAGGCCGGCTGGGGCGTCTTGGTCGCCGTGGCAGCATCATCTGCAATCCTTGCAACCTCCCCTGTTAAATAAACCAGGACTCTCCATGATCAAACTGGACTTTAGAAGATTGGCTAAGGCATGTCTGAGTGCTACATTGGCCCACATCTAGCTTTCACAAGTCTCTTTCATCTCTTTCCTGGCCATCTTCAGCAGCGAGTACCATGCCTTCCTGTGAAATGAGCCCCCCTGCTAAATTAAGCAGGGAAAGGTTTCGAATTAAGTAATGGAGGACCTTGTCTCTTCCCTTTCTCAAACAGGAAATGTGGATGGCTTTGGAGTGCTTTGGCACATCTGCACGGTTTCTCTTAATGCTCTCTCTGTGCACTTTAATAAAAGTCATTCTGCACTGCAAACTTGTGGTTCTCCTTGGCTGTCATTTGAAGGTGGGCGAAGTCTTCCCTTGGTGGAGGTTTTCTCCATGGAGCCTGGGTGGGTAAGGGTGGAAAGAGAAGGGTGGGCAAGGTTCCTCTGCTGATGAATAAGCCATGCTGGGTGAAAGAGATCGTTGGTTGGGTTTCCCCTTTGCATTCATCCACATAAACCGGGCCAGGTCTCAGTCAAGGCTGCTAGAAAGTCTATCACAATTCTGCTTCTCCTTCCCCTCGGTTCTGCCTTGCTGGCCACAGATCTGGAGAAGTTTGCATAATTCTGGGCACCACAGATGAGAAGGATATTCAGTTTGGAAAAGGGTTCAGGGCAAGGTGACAAAGAAGACAGGGGAGCTTCTTTGGTCTAGGTTGTCCTACCTGAGCAGGGATTGGACTAGAAGATCTTCAAGGTTTCTTCCAACTCTATTCTGCTTGATAGATTGGCTTGAGGACATATCTTATGATGAGAGGCCTAAGGAACATGAGATGTTCAGTACCAAGTCAACAAACCTATGGGAACCACCATAGGTCCACTCTAGGATCAGGTTCATGTCCACGAAGGGAAGGTACAATCAAAATACACCCTCTTACGGGCTCCAAACCAGAGTAACAATTACAGGTTGCCAGATCTAAAATTTAATGGATCAAATAAAGTTATCCAAAGCATGAAGGCCAATGAGTTTGATTCCCTGAAGAGGCTTTGGAATCTCATGGAACAACATCTGGCTTCTCACCTCTGAAGATGCCCTATGAAGATGAAACGGCTAACATCATACTTCCTATGGTCACTTTTTTTTCTGAGAACCCACAGGATAAATATACATATACATATACATATACATATACATATACATATACATATACATA